TGAGCTATAAGATTGGATTTACTCAATATGCAATAGTGTTTCTTGTTAACCGTTGCTAGTCCACGACGCGTTTAGGGGGTTGACTAGTGCTTCATGTTGCTGATTGGTGCTTGGGCGGTTTAACCAAACCCTATACGTTGGTGGTGCAACCTCACAAGGGGCAAATTATTACGTGGAACATGGAAGTCTTCCTCAACAAATAAACACTGCCAAGAGTATCCGCCCTAGCATGAAAAAGCGGAGCACTTGGGTCACATTATTCCAGGAGATTATAATTTGGTTTGGCCTTCAAGCTTTGAACTCCTTAATTTAATGGAAACACAAAGCTTTTGCCTCTTTGAAAGGATTGTATCATCGCTTCACTTTAGCAAATCTTACACCTCTTCAAATCTTATAACACATTATTCACGTGCAACAAGGTTTGTCCAAGTTGATGCGAGCCTGCGATGACGTGTTGATGGTTAGGTCTCCGTTGAAGTTTTTGTCCGTGGTGATTGCCTTGGGTGGGGATTGACGTTTGCTATGGCGGTTCGGAAAGGCTCGATCAAAGCTCAAATGGAGTTGATATTGACGAGAACTCCCAAAGTGGCAACGATTGAGCGAGGGTCCGGTGTCATATTGCGCGCGGGTGGCGCACCACGAGATTGCATCCATCCTCCAAGCTTGGCAAGGCAGAGGTCTCGACGTTGGTGCGGTGCCAACAAGACAAATGTGGCTTGCGAGATCTTTGGGGCGACGAGCCATTCAGCAAGGCAAGGGGCGATGACATCATTGGCCTCCTGCTTGCTCTCTCATAAGAGTGGTTGGGTAACCCCTAAGTACAAGGGTGAAGTAACCTAGCAATTAGTATTTCCCTCAGTAGAGAACCAAGCTTTATCGAACCAGAAGGAGTTCTTCCAGCACACAAAACACAATGCAAACTTGCCCCCAACACTTCAAGAAGGTTGTCAAGCTTCTTGTCTCACTAGTTACAATATTAAATTGCACGATATGATACGAATTGATAGATAGGTAAAATAAATAAAACGGGACAACAAGGTAAAATATTTTTGTGGTGTTTCCAGTAAAGTAAAGTAGACTCCCGGGGCCATAGGTTCATTGATGTTATCTCTCCAAGCAGACAAGTGTAGTGTGGCGAACAAATTACTGTTGGGCAGCGATTAAATTATAATTTTTATATTTATGACTATGATCATTCATGGTATAATGTCGTATAGGCATTACGTCCGTGATATGTAGACCGCTATCAAACTACATTTACAACTAATACTCGACCCAAGGCCGCAACCAACATGCATCGATAAGCCTGATGACATAATGTGGACAGTAAAAATATCATCCAAATGTGATAAGAAAACATCGTTTTATCCTTAGTGGCAACAATATAATATGTGTTTGTTCCCTTTCTGTCACTTTATGAATCACCGCAAGATTGAAACCATTACTACACACCACTCCCTCTGATGGACTACCCATCAATCCTGGCCAAAGACAACCAATATATCGGAAGTGCATACATAGCTACATAATTATGCAGCAAAGAAACTTCAAAAGATTCAATATATTTCAATGAACAATCTGATCATAAAATGAAAATATCTCAACAAACACATCACCGATTACATCATATGGATTCCGATTATGTGAGGTAGCTCATGGGAACTTTGTATCGAATCACAAGGAAGAGAGAATGCCATCTAACTACTGCTATGGACCCTAAGGTCCTAAGGAAACTACGTACACATGGTCATGGAGGTTGGGAGGTTGATGAAGAAAAAGGAAATATGCCCTAGAGGCAATAATAAAATGGTTATTATTATATTTCCTTAATCATGATAAAGTTTTATTATTCATGATAGAATTGTATTGACCGGAAAATTAAATACATGTGTGGATACATAAACAAATATCGTGTCCCTAGTGAGCCTCTACTAGACTAGCTCACTGATCAAAGATGTTAAGGTTTTCTAACCATAGACATGAGTTGTCATTTGATAACGGGATCACATCATTAGGAGAATGTTGTGATGGACAAGACCCAACCATTAGCATAGCATATGATCATTCAGTTTATTGCTACTGCTTTCTTAATGTCAAATACATGTTTCTTCGACCATGAGATCATGCAACTCCCGGACTCCGGAGGAATGCCTTGTGTTCCATCAAACGTCACAACGTAACTAGGTGATCATAAAGGTGCTCTACAGGTATCTCCGAAGGTGTCTGTTGGGTTGGCATGGATCGAGACTGGGATTTGTCACTCCATATGACGGAGAGGTATCTCTGGGCCCTCTCGGTAATATAGCATCACAAGAAGCTTGCAAGCAAAGTGACTAAGGATTTAGTTACGGGATGATGTATTACATAATGAGTAAAGAGACTTGCCGGTAACGAGATTGAACTAGGTATGGAGATACCGACGATCGAATCTCTGGCAAGTAACATACCGACAGACAAAGGGAACTACGTATGTTGCTATAAAGGTTCGAGCGATAAAGATCTTCGCGGAATATGTAGGAACTGTCGTGGAATTGTCACGGCAGATGTCCTTAGTGTGAGGACTTAGTCGTGAGGCCAACGCATCTATGTGGTAGCTTTAGAGGGGTTGGCCGGAATCGAGAGACGCAACATTAGACAAGGATTTAGACAGCTTCGGGCCCCGGGAAACATCATCCGGTAATAACCCTACATGCTGTTTGTGGCTAGGTCTCATTATGATCATGAGGGAGTCGCCAGTAAGCCGACTCTTTGTCTCTAGCCCTAGAGATTGTTTCTTCTTGCTTGTCCCCCTCTTGAGGTGCCCTGCCCCTCCTTATATAAGTTAGAGGGGCGGGTTACATGTGGAGTCCTAGTAGGATTAGGACTAGTCTATCTTCTCTTACAAGCTGAATACAAGTTCGGGTCTTACTTCCTTGTAAAGGAAATATTCGTCATCCCTTTTCTCTTAAGCCGGACCATCATAACGTGAGCCGGCCTTCTGGGCCTTGGGCCTTGTCTTCTATCTGACCTGCCATCAGGGCCATCCTCGAGTCGCCAGTCCTCCGGCGAGTTACCAATGAAAATGTCAAGCCCGGTCGGGTCATACTTCCGGCTGGATCATACCGCGGGGTATATCCCCGACATTAGCCCCCAATTTAATTTGGATTTATCCATGTTAAACTGATCCTGTAAAATAAACACAAGAACAAACTTGATAGGTTATGCTCCAGGTTAAATATTTTCCTGAACCGGCACCTGATCATCTTTAAGTACAATTGTCATTTCCTTCTTCTGAAAAATCCGGGTCAATAAGCCAGCTTCATACTCAATTTGCTGACGTTGGTTTCTCATAGAGAAATACTGCGAAGAATAATCCACTTGAGTCGGCTTCCAATGCTCCGACTTTGATAAAAATATTGGTCTTTGAAATATTCAACTGATATTCAGCCGATTTAAAGATGTAGATCTTGCCAGTTTATCATTGCCAAAATATCCGATTTGTAAATATTGATAGCATCGGGTCATAATTGTTGCTGATGTCGGGTCATGATTGTGGCAGACACCGGGTTAATCTGGTCTGCTCAAAACTGAGA